TATCTGAGGCAGGAAACATAGCCTTATATGGTGTTTTTGGGGTGGTAATTATGCTAATCTCCTCTTGCGTGCACGAGCATCTGGATACGAACAGGTGTAATTTACGCAGCTCATTTACGCACTTTTCCTGAGGATAGAAGAGTTTGTTGAATCTGACGTGACGTGTTCGTACAAACCCTTCATACGAACAAAAGTAAGAGAAATTTAGGATAAGAATACGAACATGTTCTTGCATGAGGCCCAATGTTCCAACATTTTTACATTTGAACAGCTGGACCATCTTCAGGTTGTTTACCAACATAAGCATGCATCATACCTGTTTCAGCTTCGCTCCGCGGGCTCATAGTTCATAGAATTCATCTAGTTTTACCTTTTGAAGCTCTTATCTTTAACTAAAAGTTAACATGAGACTTGGAAGAGGTGGATGCTGGTCTTGAGTCTTGGTTGAGGCCGGTGGTAAATGGTGATGTCATGGTTTTCCTCCTTGTGTTTTTCAGCTTCCTGTCCAAATCTAATGATGAGTAGGCGCGAGAACGGCGACGCGAGGCCGGCCCCTGTGGCCCTCACCCCCCAGCTACGTCCCAGGGTCCACCGGCCCCTGTGCGTGTCCGTGTCCTCCGACAGCAGCGGGAGGTTCAAAGCTCTGGAGACGCAGGAATGGAAGAACAACCTCAAAGCTCAGGTAGATTAAAACACGTCAGTGGTTTTTTTAAGGGGACTCAACAAAATAAGTTGTTCATGTTAAAAAATGTTTTGTTGAGTAAAGGTTTTTGTGGTTGAACTAGATTTAGTTTTGTGAACCTCTTTCAACACATCATCTCTGAAGACTTTAGTTTGACATTCCTGCAGAGTATTTTGAATATGCTTTTAGAGATAGTTATTCCAAATACACGTTTGTTAAATGTTTTAAAAAATAAATAAATAATTATTGCATTTAGCTAATTATTTCAAGATATGTCCAAAGATAACTGTGTTGTAAAAACTGAGTGTGTTTTATTTCGAAAACTATTTACTACAACTATTTTCATATTTGATTGTTGGAAAACCACATTTATTTTATAAATTGCCAATCATTTCTTTGTGACAATGCAGTCAATCAACATTTAACTTATTTCTGCAGTACAGTCATCTGTAAACTGCACAATAGAAACAGCAAGTCCTATACTGACTTATTAACAGTTACAAGTTCTCAAAGCTTTTGTCAGATAATTTGTTATTTTTTAAAGGGGACCAATTATGGTTTCTTGAACAATATAGGATACATGTGTAGGCTAAACAATACATGTTCATTAGATTTATTGCACAAAATCATTTTCTGATGATGAGATTTCACCTGGTCAGTTCTGCCTGTTCTGAGCTCCCTTCAGAACGAGCTGTTTATGCAAAGAAGCTGCTGTTGGCAGCGCCCTCCCAACACACTGTTTATGTTAGCACTTCAGATACGTGAACATGGCTACTAGCAGATGCAAAATGGTACAAGAATAGTAGATGGGCTGCATGCAGCGTGGCCACCCCAGGTCAGGGCTTGATAGGGACAGACCGGTGTCCGGGCGGGCTCATCCATCGCTGTTTCCTGAGGCCAGCGATGTGGAAGGGAAACGACGAACAGAAGGGCTGCAGCCTGGAGGCTGCCAATACGGGAGTCCAGTTGTTTTATTTATTTATTTTAATTTTCCATGTCCTGGATGACTGATAATCCACAGAAAGATACGGTAGAAACATCAAGCTGTAACTGATCACATCAACTCTAAAGTTACTCGAGCGATACTTTAGTTTAACCAGGGTTCCTGCAGATCCTTAAAATGTCTTCAAAGGCCTTGAATTCATCAATCCAAAAATAAGGCCTTAATTAGCCTTAAAATGTCTTAAATCAATTTTTCAGAAGTCTTAAAAATGTTAACACATTGTAAATAGAATAGTGCTGGGCGGTATACCGTTTTGTACCGAATACCGGTTTTTATTTTTGTTATGATACGAATTTTTTGAATACCGGACATTCCAGTTTAAATAGCGGAATGTTTTGTCGCGGCCGCCAGTGAACTTTTGTTTCCCGGGGGACATTTTTCCTTGCTGCACCGCTATGTGCGTTAGCATGCTAATGTTTGGAGCAGCTAGTTGCAGCAGCGGGTGGTGATTCCGCTGCTTTATATTGATGACGTTTAAAAAAACACCCCGTTTTCGCCATCGCTGAATGTAGTAAACACCTCTTCAGTGACGTGCACAGTTAGATTTAACGCGTTTAGTTAATATGGAGACGTTATGCTGATGGAGACTTAACGTGCTTCTATTGTGAAAAGCCTGCAGGAAGTAGTTCGTAGTGGAGTTAGAATTGACTGGTGTGCAAGGTGAGTCATGCTGATAAGCTTTAATAAATAACATAAAACAATAAACCCGATCATAATCTTTTCTTAACCCTCCTCCTTCACGACTGGACCAAAATGCATGACTACTGTCTCCAACCACCAGTCAGAGAAGAACAGACACAGAGGAGGGAAACAGAGACACAGACAGAGGTACAGTAAAAGAAAAATTTCAATAAGCAGGGTTTGTACATTTTATTATCAGCTGAGCTGTGATGAAAAGAAAAATACTGTCAAATACCGTGAAACCAGTGAAAATGTTGAAAATACCCTGATATAAAATTTTGATCACATCGCCCAGCTCTAAAATAGAATGACTGTAATTCATCTCAAATATTAAAATAATTGGTAAAAATTACATTTTTAAACGTTCACATGCAGACATTCCCCTTTGACATCACTTACTGTGATTTCACATGCAAATATCTCAATTGTTCATCTGAGCAATGTGACATTTGTTTCATAATACGTTAATAATGTTGTCTTTACAAAAATGCATTCACTTTTCATACAAAAACGTTGATGTCACAGGCACTTTAAGGTTTCATCTACAGAAAATTAAGGTTAAGACCCCACTGTGGGTTCTAAAACTCCAAATTTTGGGTTGTTAGAGGATTTCCTGAAATTAAATTAAGTTTAAAACTGACTAAGAATGTGTTTGCTATACTTGGATATGGATAAAAACAATTGGTTTATTAGGACTATTTGAATTCTTCAACCAAAAATACTGTGATTCATGAGTTTCTGCCAGTTTTTATTTTTATTTGTCATTTGTTTTATTATGAAATTGGTCTTAAATTTTATTTCACTTGGCATTAAAGTCTTAAAAAGTCTTAAATTTAACTTGTTTTAAACTGTAGGAACCCTGTTAAATACAACACTTCGTTCCAAATTTAAAATCCTATCAGAGGCAGGTTCAGGTATCAGCACTGAACTAAACAATCATGTCAAATAATTACTTAATCAACTCTGACTGTATGACAACTTCAGAATTGACATGCTAACAAGTAGCATCCATAGGCTACTTCTGTAAACACCGTGCCAAAGGTGACGTCACGTTTTTTCTGCGCATGCAGGTAGCATCAGCGCTGTGTTGCTAGCAGCCCCTCCCCTTCAGGTTGAGTATGACAGCACGGGAAGCAGGCTGCAAGAGAGGAAGTGAGAGCGTCTTTATTTTAAACAACGCAGCGTTCCACGAGTCCGCACTTGTCATGTCACTATTCCGGTACCATTACTGTTGATGCTGGAGCTTATCGATCCGGTGCTGAAAAAATATCGGGTTTCGGTACCATCCTTACTCATCAGCAGATGTCAGATGGGAATTCTCACGAAACCTCTCAAGATCAAATGTGAGTTCAGAGTGAATAAACATGGCCGACGTGGAAGAAGCGATGGTGATAGTTTGTGGACTGTTTTTAGCAGAGAAAACGTCCACCGGACTTTCTGATGCTTCATGGTGGTTGTTTTGTTTTCTGTATTTTAGATTACCCTCTTTGTTTCCGTCATCTCTCTTTCTGATTGGCTACATGTCACATTTAACAGGCTGCAGCTTGTTTGTCCTCGGGGGAACACCTGTACCAGGGCTATACAACTAATCTGCTCTGGGGGCCACAGTTACTGCAGGTCAACAGCTGAGGGGCCGAACATCCAGCAATTAAAGTTATTATGTAAATAAACTAAGTATTACAAAGATCTGTTACCTTTGAAATAGTTTATTTTGCTGCATTTAATCATGAATACAACATACAGAACCCTATGTAATAAAAGTAGTGATAAGAAAACAAAAATAACTCGTTATGACTCATATTTAATACAAATAATATTTTGACATCTCTGACTTGCCAAATTTTTAAACCAATTTTATTTTCACTTTCATAATTTTATCTTCAACTGTTTGTAATTTTAACTGTCTTAGATGTTCATAGAAAAGGTTTTACCAGCTTCTATCCAAGATTCTGATGTTTCTGTAGATATCAAACATGTCTATGTTTAACTAAAAGAACTCTTAGTAATTAAAATAGAAAACCGAGGGTTTGGACTTAATAAACCAATTGGCGGGCCGAACTTTGGTCACTCACGGGCCGCCAGTTGTGTAGCCCTGTCCTATACACTGGGATATTGGGTCAAGACAATCAAACATGTTGAATATCCCTGATTAGAGGTCAGAGCTGTCATGATAATCAGGACATCCTTAAGATTGTTGGAAGGACAAAATCAGGGCAAAAATTTGCACAATCTTACCTTGTGAACCATAAGAGTCGTCTCAAGGGGGAGTACCAACATTGTTTCACAACTGTAACACTCACAAAGCAGGCGCTTTTAATCAGCAACTGATGCTAATTAGCTTTAGACTGTTTAATGGTTGTTCAGGTAATATAACCACAGGCTTTTTGAGTCTGCTGTAGGAGCTGGTAGACGTGTGCAGGGCTGTATCATTTGTATGAGAATGTGTAGATCCATGTCAGCTGTATGTTCCCCTGCAGATGGAGCAGGCTCACAGTGGGGGAGCTGCCAGCAGCACGGGGTCCCTGGAGCGAGCATCCCTGTTCTGTGTCTCAGCCTCCACCACAAACTGCAACTCCAGTCTGCCCAGCCCTGTGGAGATCCTTAACAAGAGCAAAATGTCCAGCCGCTTCTCGCTCTTCTCTCCACCTTGGAACAGCAGCTCAGAGTCGGACTCGACACCTCCATCCCGCTCGGGCTCCAAGAAACTGCGGAACTACAGTAGGAGAGCCGTCACCAGGCCAGCAGGAGCCAGGGCCCCCGACACACCAGAGCCCAAAGCCATAGGCCTGGAACAGTTCCAGTACTCTGATCCTGTCATTTCCAAAGTGACGGATTACATCTATGTGGGTAACCTGAACGCTGCGTACAATGGGCGTGCTCTGTGCCGCAACAACATTGACAGCATCATCGACATGAGCAGTGTGCCCGGAGAAACTGGCCACTGCCTCAGTCTCATACCCTGCACCTGCTCACGTGGTGCCCGGCACAGCTGGTCCCGGCTTAAGGTGGACATTGGGGACACGCCGGACAACATGGGTGAAAGCCCGATGCTCAAGGACTGCTGCTTTGAGGACATCAACGAGTGCATTAACGCCTCCACGGAGAAGAGGAAGCGTGTTCTCGTTCATTGCCGGGATGGGTTTTCTCTAGCACCAACGTGCATCATCCAGTACCTGATGGTGAAGCAAAACATGAGGCTGATCAGTGCTTATGAACTGCTGAGGGCCAAGTACCCTGTCAACATCAAAGAGTGCCACCAGAACGTTCTGGTGAGCCTGGAGAGAGCCCTGCGGCCGGGTGGCGATGTCGATCCCAAGTGCTTCAAACAGGCGATCTCACGCAAAGTGGCTTGGAACTGACTCAGTGCCACCAACCTTTTCTTTCTTTTCCAAAAGACAAACCAAAGGCAGCTGTACTTCTCTCTGTACACTGGGCCTCTGGAGTTGATTTGTTCTCCTTTTTGGTTGAGTGGCTGTAGGACTTTAGTGTAATTTTTTGTTGTAGTTGATACCGTTTGTTTTGCAGATCTGTGAATGTGATTAGGCTGTAAGTTTCCTTCTCATCCTCTGTAATGTAAAGCACCATCTCACTTGGCTGAGACCATTGGAGACTAGTTAGTGCAGTGGTTCTTAACCTGGGTTCGATTGAACCCTAGGGGTTCGATGAGCTGGTCTCAGGTGGAGCCTCTGCCGCGGAGGAGTAAAATCGTGATAACACGCCCCACTTGGCCATCACTTGCTGCAGAGGATCACGTGAGATTGCTTGGCCAATCAGTGCTGGCCCCAGAAAAGTATTTTGTGGATTCAAAACGACAAAAAAACAAATTAACTTTAAAATAAAAAAAAGTTATTAAAATGTTAAATTCTTCAAAAAAAAAACCTAATTTATTTTGTATTGGTAAAATAGTAAAATAAGATTTTTTTGGGTGCTGAAATTTTTTTGGGGCCAAAATATTTTTGGGGGCCTGGAATTTTTTATGGGGGCAAATTATTTTTGGGGGGCCAGAATAAAGTCATACTGTAATTTGTTGTGAGTTCATGCACTGTGTTGGTTTTGTTCTTTGAGCAAGGTGATGTTCATGCACGGCTCATTTTATACACCAGTAAAAAAAACATATCTTGAATTTGGAAAAAAAATAATCATATTTTATTTATCACTAAAAAGGGTTCAGTGAATGCGCATACGAAACCGGTGGGTTCGGTGCCTCAAAAAAGGTTAAGAACCACTGAGTTAGTGAGTAGTTCTCCTAAGGGGGTAGGGCTGGGCGATATCGCAAAAAAAAATGATCACGATTAATTTTTTCATATCGTTCGATCTCGATTAATATCATGATTCTTTTGTTAACCTAAAAAGTGACTGAAAAATAATTTAACAAATCCATATAGCTACAGAAAAAATGGCTGTTTTTTCACTTTCACTAATATAACAAATAGCTGTGGTTCAGTAGAATATTAAATTATTTTTGCAAGGTATTTAAAGATATTTACCAAGAAAAAAAATGTTTATGTGTAAATCATAGAATCTCACATTAAGTTACCCTTTTGTAGAATTAAAGGTTTAGAATTGAATTTCACATTAAATGTCATAAAAAAAACATAAACCTTACAAACAGCAACAATTTGTGCACACTTACCAACTGGATAGGATCTAAGCTCATTACTTTTGTTAAGGAGGGACCCCGAGGGACACCCCCCCCCCCCAGTTCTTTATCAAACAACGGACAACGCTGTTTCATTTTTTCTGAAATAATATCTGATACTGCACACGACAAAATGTTGGATAAACTCCCAGCTTCTGAGTGTTCGTGAGTTTGCTTTGTGTCTCAGCTGCTGTTTGTGATGAGACTCGGTCTTCACGTCACGTCCAGCCCATCGTGTGTCGATAAAAGTTACAGAAAAGTTCTTCTCCAGATAAATGAAGAACCGCTGGGACATTGTTCTGTCCTAAACGTTACCCTAAACCGCTTCATAGTTTTGGAGGACATTTTTGTTTTAGTAAACCGTGCATCGTGGCTCACCTTTCTTTTTGCCCTCCCTCTCCCACTGTGTCGGGAGAGGAGCTCAGAGCTCACTCTGTGTGCCTGTTAGCAGGTAACAGCAGGTACAGGAAGCGACAGTGGCCAAAACGCTTCAGAAACTCACCCAAATAAGCGAACTCTGTGAGATTCTGCGTTTTATACTGGATTACTTTGGTTAATCCTGTTATTTTGTCTGCGTTTCATTAGTAAATTATAAACGGAAGTGGAGCAGAAGAAGGTGGATTCTGATTGGCTGATGTCGTGCACATTTCCGCCATGTTTGATCGAGTAATAGGATCACCGTGATCAACCTGAATTTTTTTCTCGATCAATAATCGCAATCAAATAATCGCCCAGCCCTATGAGGGGGGTCTCCAAAGTGACTTGAAGCTTTGTCCAAGCTTCTCGAGTTCTTTTGGTCCAGAGGCTCCACGTCCAAACGTTTAACATCTCTGTGGAGTCCTTTACCATGAGTGGTTTATTTTTAACCAATCCGACTAAAATAAAAGCTGAGTTACTTGAAGAAACCCAACATCAGGAGGATTCCTCACAGATTAATTTTGATCTCATTCCCATTGCGTGAGGGTGACCACAACTATTTTATGAAGCCAGAGGAAGCCAGACCCATAAAGAACTTGCGCTGGCTATGATAGAGAAGGTGGGCAGTGATTTTACATCGTCAGTAGCTGTTGTTGTGTTTTCAGAACTCCCACGCCCGGTCTATTTTTAATTTCTTTACCTACGTAAATTTTGTAACTGGGGAGTGGTCTGGTTTAAAGTGTCAACGCCTTGCTCCAAAATCCTACCTGACCTTGTTGATGACTTTACATTTCACACACTCTTATCTCAAGTTTAATAAATTCAGAGTGACTCCAGTTTATTAAACTCAGGGTTTATGGATAAAATCAGTTTGTTAAATCTTGTTTCTGGTGGTTATGGCTAGTAGGGGTCTCTGCAGTACATAGGGGGAGTTTCTTGGCTGTGTGGGTGGAGTTCTTGGGTGTGGGCGGAGTTAGTCCTAACCGTGATTGGTTGTATTGACTTGTGGGTTAAAAGAAGTGAAGTTAAAAGATGAAGTTATGGTATTAGTTAAATTATTGTGAACATGTAAATATAATTTATTGACTGTCTCTTTATAGTTTAAAACAGAATTAAAATTAATGTGAGCATGTAAACATAATGTATTAACTTCAGATTTAGTGCAACCAGCACTTTCCTGTCTCAAGTTATGACTAATATTAATACTCATATTCAAATTTAGCCATCTTTTTCTAGGTGGGTTAGGGCTGTTTTGACTGAGACAAATTGTTACACGTTCCTCCATATGTATGGTGTTCAAATTTGGTGCGACTGGAGTTAAGACAAAATTCGTATTTATTTTAAAGTTTTAAGTGCTTTCTGGCCTTTTGAACCAAGCCCCCCCCCCCCCCTCCCCAGCTGCTCAGGGTTCATCAGACTCCACCCAACAGTCAATCCAACCAATCCTGTCTTTGACAAACTACTCCCCCAGAAGTTAAACAAGATGGGTACAAAGTAGGAATGCGCGATATAAACGATATACGGTAGAAACGATATAAATTTGTCCTATGATAGAGATCTGTAGTCTACCGGCCAACCGCGCAATTCTTTTTGATGATGTAACCAGCTGGAGTCAAAACAGGAAGCAGGAAGCGGGAAGCAGCGTGGCTGAGAGCGTAAATGAGGATGGGAAAAATAAACACCCGAACCGGACTTGGTTCGTGTGTGCGAAAATGAACGCCGAACTGTTCACATATTTACGTCACGGGTCATCCTCCGGTCGGATGTCGACCGAGCACACTGCCTGCTGCGGGAGGACAGAGCGCCGCAGCACATGGTGACGGAGCGAGGCGACCGTCAGTGCAGGTGAATTAGTGCTCCAGGACTCAAAAAAGCTCACTGAGTCTGGATCTCGTTCCTCCTGCGGTCATAGCGCGACGTTCCAAACCGCGACTATAAAACTCAGCCTTTACTGTTTCCTTGTACAGCGGAGAAGCACTGTGGGAAAAAGTGACAGTTAGACTTTCATTCAAAAAAAAAAAAGTAAAGCATAAACGGGATGATTGTCACCCCACCTTAAACACAGATTAAACAGGTGGAGTGCAGAAAAAATAATCTGCAAAGTGTGTGTGATATTTGATTTAACCAGGTAGATCTCCCTTAAATTTAGATTTTTATGGGAGACTTTAAAGTGTCCCTTAAAAAATGAGATTTTAAGGTCTAAATTTTTTTACCTATACATATTTATTCCACTCAATTAATGTGTGATTTATTTATTTTCTATTATAAGTTTTATATCATGATATATATCGTTACCGCCACCCATCATAATGTATATCGTGATATGAATTTTTTTTGCCATACCGCATATTCCTAGTACAAAGCAGCCAAGTTGGGTCGAGGTGCACAACCTTGAATAAAGTTTTGTAAGATGGATACTTGAAAATAGAAGTTGATAATCAAAAGCTGTCTTCATGACTCGATGGTCGATCTGAGGATTCTGTAGCTGCAAATAAAACAGATTTTCTTTCAAAGCTTTTCTGAGTCTGAAGAAATTTATAGTTATTAGAGGTTAGTACTGATGTCAAAAGCACAACACTATATTTTAGGTTTTTATTTTTTATAATGTTGATAATGTTTAATCTATTATGTTTTGATTGAAATAGGTTCAGTTACATGTCCGAATTATATAACAACACATAATCAACCGTTATGAGAACATTAGATGAGAATTTTGTCTGAATGCCTGTGATTCAGCCGTAGGTCAGTAGGGGGCGAACGCAGGCATTGAAGACCCTGAATAAATTGATGAACTTCCTGGTTTTTCGCCAGTGTGGTTTCCTGTCAGCTCCGGTGACATTAAACCTCACTCAGTTCCAGAATTCTGGTGTTGTATGGTTTGATTCCTTCTACAAATCATCTTATTTAATAATGGTGAGTTTAATATTGACTTCAGTCTATTGAATACGAATTTTTCTTACAAGTCGATAACTTGTCTCCAATGATCACAGCCCAGTGAAATACTGGTTTTAGGAATGCAATAGCCTAAAATGTAGTGTATACAGCTTCTTGATATCTCATTATCATAGTGGATGTGTGGTTTCAATTATATTCAATTCCTTTTGTTTATTTTATTGTTTTTATTTTGTTTACATCAGGGACAGTTCTTAATGGGGATCTCAGGAGATTTTTTTAGTTCACATTGGTGCGGTGTGAGAACTTGTAATACTTTTACTTACTGAGCCCACACACCTTGGGCAAAGTGTTGAACTATGTAAAATGTTTCTCCCTCAAGTTGTACAGCAAGCTTCCTTTGACTTTATCGTGAACTTGTGGGATTTCTGTTAAAAGTGGGATTTTTTTCCCCCTAACATAGTTACACTTAGTTGTTTTATGCTCTGTAATAGACTGTACAGATTATCAGGGGGACATTTCACTGTCTTTGTTTTCTTTAAAAAACTTAAAACTGGTACTTCTAGTACAGAAATGGTTCAGTGAGGTCCTCAGATGGTCCTGGGAGAGCATGGAGAACACAATAACCTTTTACACATCTACTGATTCAGTTTTTCTTTGACCAATGTTTAATTTTTAGAAATCAGGGCAGCCAATGGCCAAAATACAGCACCAATATTTTTGTTTTACCAAAATATAACAATTCCTTCATTTAGGTAACCAAAAATGTAACAATCCTTTGAAGAATCTGTACATTTATATAACTAGATTAAAATCTCTCACATGTATTTTTCCCATGATTTAAGACAAAAGTAATGAAAAATAATGTAGT